TCCATTCTTTTTGCATTACCCTAGGACAAATAATCATTATTGCAACTAAAATGCAGAACAAAGATAATCAGAGACACTAGAAATTGATAAGCTACATCATCCAGGTCTCATATTATGTTTATCTTATCATGAAAATAATAAATTAAAAATGAATTTTAATTTAACTTATTAAAATAATAAATTTTAAATTCTCATTCTTAACTCACAGCAAAGGTTGTGAGTATGACAACTATTTTTTCAATAATGGGAAACAATTATCTATAAAATTGAGTCTAAATGTCATAGCAAGGCATACAAAGTCCCCAGTGTGCCATCCTTTCCTCATGTTTGCAGGCTCATCTGTTGGGCATTTGTTGCTTCAACACTTACTGCATAGTGTCACTGAGCTCACCAGATTGCCCTGTCTCCATATTATTTCCAGCCTGTGTGTTTATGCTTTGCTTCTCCATCTTGTTTTGAAATAGAAACAAAAATTTCCCCCCAAAATTTTTGTTTCTATTTCAAAATAATATTTCAGGATCTAGCTTAGGTATCATCTCTTATGAAACCATTCCTAGAATTCCAGTATAAAATGTCCCCTCCTCTGTATACTAAATGCACCGTGTGCTGATTTCTAGCCTACCTCCTTCTGCAGGCCAATAATTATTTATTCCTCCAATATACCATAAGCTTCTTTAGAGTAGACTTTGTACTGACGACAACTATCCCAGGCTCTAATGTCCAGTAGTTGGTAAGTAAATAAATAGCAAAGTGCTTTGAACCATTTCTAGTTAGAAAGCCATCTCTGGTAACTAACTTGGTTTTGTTTTGTTTTGTTTTGTTTTGTTTGATCGTTTTCCAATACTCAGAGTTGAATATACTTTAAGAAAACAGGGCATAGTTGAAGAATTCACTGGATTTGGAATCAGAGAACTTATGTTCACATTCTGTCCTGCCATTTGTTCTTAGGTGTAAAATGGGGTTAAACAGTCACCTTTCCACATCATTTTTTTAGATGTGCAAAATGCTGGCACAGTGTCTAACACATAGGTATATACTCAATAAATGTTAGTGTCCTTACTACATTATTGTTTCACTTCTTTTTATGGCCTTTAGCGATTTGAAATTATTATTGTTACAGGGAAGCTTCAGATTTATGTACTTCCTTATTGTAGTTAGACTGAGATCGAGTATTAGATATTTTTTTTCTGAAAGACCTTTAAGATGACTGTGTATAATAGGTGACACAATCAATCTTTCAACCTCAATGAATACTTTACTCCCTTTAACTATTTATGTTTATTCAGAACATATTTCTTTTATTGCCATTGGCATGAGGGAATTTTTACTTTGTTTTTGCTACCTAGATAAATCTGTCTTCTTCCATCTTTTTGTAGTTTATTTTTGTCAGAAAGACCTACTTTGAAAAACATTTCATTTACTACTGTATTATTGAATTTCTTTTTTATGCTTTCATATGGATATTAGAACCTGCAGCTTTAGTTCTTTAGATAATAGGCTTAGACTCACTGATAACACAAAATTTATTGTAGAGGTATGTCATATGGGTTTAAACAATATGGTAAATTCCTTGAATTTTTTTAGCTTTTACATGTGTTTTATAAATAAAGATAGAAGATAGATCTGAAGGCAGTCGAGACAAATGTAGCTGATGCCAACAAGGAAAAGAAAAAGAACAAAAAGACTGCAGTTTGTTTATTATAAGATGAAATACCAGCTGAAAACTATAGAAGCAGTTCCTAAAGGAAAATTTTTAGTAATAGACACTTACTGGTTCAAGAAAATTCAGGCTATATGGAAAAGAAAAGTTTTATAGATATGGAAATAGCCAAAGGATGAACTAAGCTTCTAAAAAATGTGATCAATGTCACTAGAGACAAAGGATCTGAATTTAAATGTAACATCATGAGTAAAAGAAAAATGAAGTCAATTTGTCATAAAGCAGCAAGCATGAGTCGACCCACTAGAGATCCCTGTTATTACAAATTATTCCTGGTTATGTGTCTTCTTAAAGACTGAAAGCAATGTGTGGCACAGGTGCTTTTGTATTGGATTAAGGCTACACTTGTCATACCTTGACTGATGTCACCTTCTGCCTACTCTCTACATTTAATTCAAACTAAAACCTTGGTGTGTTTCGGTGGAAAGATTTGTGACTAACAGGAAACATCTTTGAACATCTGGAACCTCGGAAGATATTAATTAGGCTCTGGTTTGCCCTGTTTGTCACAATCATGATAAGTAGCACTTACCATATGGTAGAAAATAAAAGAGAAGCTTAGGGTCTTGTTTTCAAAGTTGGAATAAAGTCTTCTGAGCTGGAAAATCTCAGTGAATAGTTCCAAGTTACAAGTATTGACCTCAGGGCCTTTCATATCCTCGTTGCCTGTATTCGGACTACAGTTAACACATGTAATTGTTGAAGACAGTGTTGTCTGACAACTTGCACACAGGAAGAGAAATTGAAAGAATTATTTTATGTTTCTACTTCCAGATTTCTTGTAACTAATTAAGAAATAAAATAATTTTGGTTATTATGAAATGCACACCTAAATTCATTATACTTTGACTTGTTCTTGGTGTTCATTTAAGCTTCTTATGAGGATACTGGTATTCATTTATATTTCAGATTGGTTTTAAAAAGATCTTTTTATGCTTTTGTGTCAGCTACTTTATATGCAGTTACCTCCCTTGCTCGTGGAGAACTTGCAATTTATCAGAGGAGAATAAAAAGATAATTCCTTAAGAGAATCACAAGGCAAGTCACAGGCTTGAAGAAAGTATTTATAAAACCCATATCTAATTGAGAACTGTTATCCAAAATATGCAAAGAACTCTTAAAATTCAACCATAATAAAATAAACAATCTGATTTTTTTAAATAAGCAAAAGGCCTGAAGCAGACACTTCCCAAAGGGGAGATAAAGATGACAATTAAGCATATAAAAAGATGCTGGATGTTATATATCAGGGAACTGCCAATGAAACATCTGTTTACCTATTAGAATGCCCAGAATCCAAAACACTAACAATACCAAATGCTGGCCAGGATGTGGAGCAACAGAAACTCTCATTCAATGCTGATGGGAATTCAAAATGGTACAGCCCCTCTGGAAAGCAGTTAGGCAGTTTTTGACAAAACTAAATGTATTGTTACCATGTGATTTAGCAATCATGCTCCTTGATATTTACCTAAATTAGTTAAAAATATATTCAGATAAAACCCTGCCCACAGATGTTTATAGCAGCAGCAGTTGTATTCATACTGGCTGAAACTGGGAAGCAATCAAGATTTTCTTCAGTAAAGGAAGAGGTAAATAAATTATGGCACATCCAGACACTGTCAAGCCACAAAAAGGTATGGATGAACTTTAAAAGTATATTTTGAAGTGAAAGAAGCCAATCTGAATAGGCATACTGTATGATTACAACTATATGACACTCTGGAAAAAAAAAAAAAAAAGAAAACTGTGGAGACATCAAAAAGATCAGCGGTTGCCAGGAGTAAGTCAAAACAGAGAGATGAATAGGTGAAACCGAGCCGTTACCCCGTCGACCGTTCTTTGATAAACGTAGAAATTAACCCTTCTGGTGTTAAAACGCTTGAAACTTACATTTTGTTTTATCTGAGTTCCTTCCACAGGAAACGATGTTTAGGGCTCTCACAAAAAGTGTCAAAGAACTGAAACCAGGTAACCACACCAGATGCCTGACCCATCATTCACCATGATTGCTTCCTTGCTCCTCCCAAATGCCTGTTTTCTTACACATTTTTACATTTCTTGCCTGCTGTATAAAGCCCTGGTTTCAGTCAGTCAGGGAGTTGGATTTGAGACTGAGCTGCCATCTCCTCCACTGCAGCACCTGATTAAAACCTTCTTCCTTGTCAGTACTTGGCATCTCAGTGACTAGATTTCAGCGTGCTGAGCAGCGGGACTGAGACTGAACCTTTGGTGTTTCAGTAACATAGGTAAAGCACAAAGGGCTTTTTAGGGCACTGAAACTATACTGTATGATACTAAAGTGATGGATACATATCTTATACATTTGTTAAAACCTATAGAATGTATGATATCAGGAGTGAACCTTAATGTAAACCATGGACTTTGGGTGATAATGATATGTCAATGTACATTCTAACAAATGTACAACTCTGGTGGAAGATATTGACAGCTAGGGAGGCTGTGGGTCTAGAATCAGGATACATGGGAACTCTCCATGCCTTCTGCTCAATTTCACTGTGAACCGAAACTGCTTCCCCAAAATACGTCTATTTAAAAAGATAATGCCTCAATGTTAAGTGTTATGAAAAAAAAAAGATTGTAAAATGTACAGTAACCCAGAGACGAAGGGGCGGGTTCAACTTAGCAAGGTTTGGAGAAGACCTCACAGAAGTGCTAACTTTTAGAGTGGAATTTCAAAGGCAAGCAGAATTTTACCTGTGGGAATGGGAAGGCAGGTATTAGAGATAAAGAAGTAGAAGGAAAGCGGTTAAGCAGAAGGGAGAAAAGGAGCAAGAGGAGAATGAGAAGGCATGGCATGTTCCATGACTTTCTGGTAATTCTGACTAAAGCCAGGAGTTTGTAGTAGACAAGGGTGGTCTTTAGACTAATGATACTGGTTGGGAATGATTTTAAGTAGCTATTGTAGCCATGTTAATAAGTTTGCACTCTATCTGTGGAGTCAATGCATTGACATTTGTGATGAGTAGAAAAACTAACACTTATTATTACATGCTTACCTTGTTGTTGTTGGTTTGTTTTGGATTATCACACATAATCTTAACAACACTTACACTGAAGTAAAAAGAGGTTAAATAATTGCCGCAAGTTCATATAACTAATCAGTGGCAAAGCTGGGATTCAAATTCAGATATTCCTATATCAAAACTCACATTCCTGACCACCACTCCAAGGGGTGATGTAGCCAAAGATTCAGAGGGGAATGAATATTGGAAGTCAGTGTGTTTCTTTCTTTCTTTCTTTTTCAGGCCTCATTACAACAAAATAGACAAGTAGCGGCAGCCAACAGCAATCCTTCATGATGTTTCCCTTGGCCAGAAATGCACTAAGCAGTCTCAAGATTCGAAGCATTCAGCAAAGTATGGCAAGAAAGAGCCATGTAAAACACTCACCAGATTTTCATGATAAATATGGTAATGTTGTGCTAGCCAGTGGCACCGCTTTCTGTGTTGCTGCATGGGTGTTTACAATTACTCAGATTGGAGTAGAATGGAACCTATCCCCTGTTGGCAGAGTTACCCCAAAAGTGTGGAAAAAACAGTAACCATCACAGTTGTTGTAATGACAGAATTATTTAAAAAACCAACTTGTCATGTGAGCACTCTGCTGCTTATTAAAATATAGCATAATTGAAAAAATAAAATGTGTTTTAAAAGTTTAAAAAGTCTTTGCAAATGATCACTATATATATATATATATATATATATATATATATATATATATTACCTGGAAGCCATAAAATAGCAGTGGGTATAGATTACAGTGGATTAGAAATGGCAAATATTTGAATGTAGGATTAATAAAACATGTATCCCTTTAGTTTAATGATTTACACCAGGTATCTTTCAGTGAATATATACACATATGTAATTTACAAATTATTTTGCTGGAAAATCCTGTTGAATCTTCCTTTAAACTGCACGTATGTTTCTTGACTTGGGGTTACATCCCAGTAAAACCATCACAAATTAAAAATGCTGTAAATTGAAAATATATTTAATACCCTATATGCCCATTGTAAAATCAAAAAGTTGAACCATTGTATGTCCAGATGCTCCTCAATTTATGATAGGGTTACATCTATATAAACCTATCAAAGTCAAAAATCATAGGTTGAACTGTCCTAAGTACGGGACCATCAGTGTTCAGAAACTGACCATTTTTCAGGCCCTTCGTCATTCCCACCCTGGTCTGAACCATTATACTCACTGAGTTTATTATAAAAGCTTTCTAACCAGTCTTCTTGTCCCTGCAGTTTCTGTCCTGCCAAACGTGCCCCCAACCACCACACACAATCATTTTTCAGTTCAGTAGCCAGTTTTCATTTTAAAACATAGTCTAATGATGTGACTCTTCATTCAAAATCTGATTCTGATTTCGTTCCAGAGTTAATGCTGAAGTCCTTAGATAGGTCCTCTGAATGCTGCGCTGGCCAGTTTACCTCCTGCATCAACAGGTTTCTACTGGCTCCTCCCTCTGGTTGGCATGCACTTCTGGATTCTGTATGATTCCTTCATACCTTTCTGGGTTTTGTTCATTCATCTCTTTAGGAGCCCTTTATCCTTTCTAAAATTGCAGTCTTTATTTTGGCCTGAATTTCTCTCTCTTGCTTCTTTGCTTTTTTCTATATTACTTATCATAATCTCACTTAAGATTTATTTATTTATGTGGAATGGTGTCTCACTCTGTCACCCTGTCACCCAGGCTGGATTGCAGTGGCATGATCTCGGCTCACTGCAATCTCTGCCTCCTGAGTTCAAGTGATTCTCCTGCCTCAGCCTGCTGAGTAGCTGGGATTACCAGAGCCTACCACCACGCCAAGCTAATTTTTGTCTTTTTAGGAGAGATGTGGTTTTGCCATATTGACCAGGCTGGTCTCAAACTCCTGGCCTCAAGTGATCTTCCCACCTCAGCCTCCCAAAGTGCCAGGATTACAGGTGTGAGCCACTGTCCCCGGCCCACACTTAAGATATAGTTAGCTTATTTACTTATTTATTGTCTGCATACAAAACTCCCTAAAAGCATAGGTTTTGCAATTTTTTTAATAACTTTATCACAGGACTTGATTACTTTCAATTAGGTTGAATTAATGAATTAATAGGTGGCTTTAGGTAATTCAGAGTCCCCATTAGTTTGAAAATAATGAATTTGCTTGTCATTGTGGGTTGCAGTGAATATTGGAAAGCATATTAGTTCTCTATTGCTGTTTGGCAAATTATTCCAAAACTCAGTGGCTTAACACAGCACTTATTATCTCTAATTTCTGTGGGTCAGATCTGAGCATGACTTAGTTGGATGCCTCTGGCTCAAGATCTGACATTTCTGCAATCAAACTGTCAGACAGGACTGCGATCATTTCAAGGAACAACTGGGGGAAGAAGCACATCTAAACTCACTCAAAAAAATGTTTGCTGGCCTCCATATCAATGCTCACCAAAAGGATAATTAGCAGAGGAGTATCTCAGTAATCAAGTGGACAAGATAACCCATCCTTATGTTCATCAGCCTCTTCTAGCAATCCTGTGTTTCCACAGTGGCTCAGAGACAAAGTGACCATGTCAGCAGAAATGGAGGTTGGGCACAGGCACTACAACATGGAGTTCCACTTATCAAGGCTAGTTTGGCTATAGCCACTGCTAAGTTCCCAACCTGCCAAGTGGAAAGACCAACAGTGCATCTCCATTTGGCACCATTTCTTGGCAGAAGGGAGTAGATCATGCAGCCATCAGTGTCGGGTTGATTCCACTGGACAATTTCCATTATGGAAAAGGCAACATTTTGTTTCTCTTAGTGTGGAGATTTACCTACTTTCCCTAAAACTCTTCTTAAATATTGTCATCCATGGACTTTCAAAATGTCTTATTCAGCATCATGGTATACCATGCATCACGGATTTTGGCGAAGAAATTCATTTTACAGCAGATGAGTGCAATAATGAGCTCATGTTTATGGGAGTCACTGGTATTGCCACACGTCCCATCACTGATAGAATGGAGTAATAACCTTTTGAAATGTTAGTTACTGTAACAGCTCAATAACACTACCTTGCAAAGCTAAGGTAATGTCTCCCAGAATGCTGAATATGCTCTAAATAAGCAAAAATGCATGGTGCTATTTTCCTGGAGCCACAATTTACAGACCTGAGAATCAAGAGGTAAATATGGGAGTGGTTCCTTTCACTATTAGTCCCCTAGTGATCCACTAGAGTAATGTTCATTTGTTTCCATGATTGTTGGCTTTCCTAGTCTAGAAGTCTTAGGTGCCTACTATGGATCACAGCAATGGTGACATTAAACTGGAAATTCAGAGTGCCATCCTGAGAGTAAAGGGAGACAGCATGTTTTTAATCTTATAAGGGAAGGTCGCCATCATGCTAGTAGAAGTATGTGTTGAAACCATCTTTGTTTGAAATATAGGTACGTTTAGAAAAGATACACTGATGTGAAGTTGACACAGGGTAGATTACTGTGGCTTCTTGAGTGTCAACTTTGCTAAGCTTGAACTACTTCCTCTCATCCCTTTATAGTTTCAGATTAGAGTTGGCCACAAGAATAAGAAAAAAATTTCTGAGATAGGGTGAACATGAAACATCAATCATTTTATATTTAGAAAGTGGGCGTAGATCACCAACACTGTGGCAGCTTATGCAGTTTGTTGCTGATCTCTTGGCTTGTCGCACTGACCGCTATTCAAAATCCCACTAATTGTTCTCCTTCAACTTTTTTGAATTCTGGGCCAGTTGAATATGCAGCTCCATAGTGAAGGGCATCAACTTCTCTACAGGTCATCCACGTCATCTTAGATAGAGAAAGTGAGAAAAACGCACATATTCCAATTTGCATTCATGATTTCAGTGTATCCTTCCCAATTCCAGTTGGTCCTGGCTCTTAGCTACTTCACATGCAGATTCCTTTGCTGAGAACCATTCAACACCAGACATGGAGGTAATAGCATTATAAAGAGTTCTCCCCCAGTTCCCATATTTGCATTCATTTTAATGCCCATAATTAATCCTGTATTGTATACTACTCATACTGGTTCTGCCTTACTCATTAAACACTAATACAATTAGTATGTAAAATATACAAAAAATTCTATGAATAAGACAAATAACCAAATAGAAAAGCAGCAAAATGAACAAACAGTAAAGTCACACAATAGAAAGCAAAGAGCTAACACAGGATAGCCAACCTCATTAGTAATCAGTCTGACTCTCTCGCCCAAGGTGCAGTTCAGTGGCGTGATCTCAGCTCACTGCAACCTCCGCTTCCCAGGTTCAAGAGACTCTCCTTCCTCAGCCTCCAGAGTAGCTGGGACTACAGATGCGCACCACCACGTACAGTTAATTTTTGCATTTTTTAGTAGAGATGAGGTTTCACCATATTGACAAGGCTACTCTCAAACTCCTGACCTTGTGATCCACCTACCTCGGCCTCCTAAAGTGCTGGGATTACAGGCATGCGCCACCACACCTAGCCTTGAGCTACTATTTCACAGTAATCAAAGGAACAAAAATATAAATTGTCTCTAAGAGTGAGTCTGGAGGTAGAACAAAATGAAGTTATATACATTGCTGGTGAGACTGTAAACCATTACAGTTTGGAGAATTATTTAGAAATACTGTAAATGGTCAATCCCTAACACCTACCAATTTCACATCTTGGAGGAACCATAGAGGAACTTTCAAATGGTAAACATGGGGCTTAGGCACCTGCAATGATCTCTATCTAGAGAAGTAACGATGGTAGTATATAACAGAGGTTGAGAAACAGACTGACTGAAATTGGTTATCCAGTAGCAGGAGGTGGTCTCCACTGCCAACCATGGAAGATACATGAGTATCTTCCACTCTGTGCCCATTTGGAGAAGTCTATTCCCACAACCCATTCTAAGACTTATTTTCATCCATTTTGGAATAGTGTCTCTTCTAATTTCTCAATCATCCTATCAAGCCATTGGCTGGAACCCATGATTCATTGTAAAATTGTATCTTTGGCCATCTCTCCTTTCAGGTAAAATGAACAACTATGTGCATTGCTTAATGCACTATCCACCAGAAAAATTTTCCGTTTCCTTTAGGGCCAACCCGGAGTTAAACTACGTAGTTAAAACTATCTGCTTTCAGGTATGGTCAATATCAGATCTGAATTGTTTCTTCTTTGGACAGCTGATAATAGGAAGTCATACTTGTAAATTTTAGGTTCAAAGTGACATGAAATTTTCTCAGACACACAGCTTATAAACAATGGAGTCAGGACTCAATCTCACATCTCTCTGGCTTTAGAATCTGTTCTGTTACTTGCAGGTTACACTGTCTACCAGTCTTTCTTCATATATATAAGTTGCAAGTTCTGAAGAAGGATTCAACTGGAGCTAGAAAAGACAGGAGGTCATTGTTGATTGGGAGTAAATAAGATTATTAAGAGGGTTCATCAGCCAGCAAATGAGGATACAAAATGCATATGGAATATAATGAGTTTTTCTGTTTTGTTTTGTTTATGTTTTGCTTTTTTTGAGGTGGAATCTCAGCTCACTGCAATCTCAACCTCCCGGGTTCAAGCGATTCTCCTGCTGCAGCCTCCCAAGTAGCTGGGATTACAGGTGCCCACC